TTCAGAATACAGGAAGATTACAATATGAAATGGGTTTGTCTCCTTTATACCCACGGGCTGCAACACATGTAAATGCAACCACTTCTAATGAAACCAGCACAGATCTGCTACCCAGAGTACGTAGACAATCATTTGCATAAATTGACTGCTCATCTTCCCTAAAAGCTTTTCCTTGCCCTTCCACTTCCCTTGAAGGACGGACAAAGGTTCTGCTTACCACTCCCTGAAATATCACACAGTTGTGCGAAATATCGTTTCCATTTTGAAAAAAAATCTGGCTTCATGCAAAGCCATAGGACAAAACCAGAACTACTCAGTTTAATGAATATCCTCAAAAGAATATTTTTAGGGCTTTTAAGAGATCATAGACTCTGCTTGGTCATGGGGTGAAGCTCATCGAAACCCAACCTTTGCTACTGAAAAGGCCTTTCCTTCTCATCACTGCCTTAAAGAGTTCAAAGACAGGACAATCTTTGCTGAAGAGCTGAAAATCTGTCTCTTCCTGAAGTTGAGAGGTTCTTTTTGCCACCGTGGACAGCAGGTGAAAGATGCCTATGACAGCATCCAGTGCTACACAAGCAGTACCACATGCCCTGTTTCCCCTTGACAACAGGATAGCGCGCAATGCCGCCAACCCAAAGAGTTTAATTTCCTCTAAGAGGTGGGAGTTCCTGGAAGGATTACTGAAAACAATGCTGGGAGAGATCTTGAGGAATCACCCAGTTCACGTGTCCTGTCCCAAGCAGAATTCAAATATATCCACATCCTTCCTAACAGATGTTTGCCTAAAAGCATGCAAAGATGGAGATTTCTACCCCTCTGGGCAGGGCCGTGGGGTGAACTTGGACAGAGCTAGGTTTGTGTTTGGCTTGTCACCTCTACCCCAATCACATCCATCAGCTCTTTGCACGGGAGCAGTCACTGCCTTTCCTGACGGACAGTCTCTTCCAAAGCCTGGACTGGAGCAGTTGGGTACAAGTAAGCAGCTGTCCTTCAACATCAGTGAAAAAGAGTTAGAAAGCAGCAAGATAGTCATACCTACCCCTCCTCCGCAGTGACCGGATGGACCTGCAAGGTGGTAGGTGCATGCAAACTTCAGCTTTGTCCTTGCTACACAGGATTTCCTCGCTGTTCTCAGTGACTTAACATCTAGGGGATACTAACACTGGCGTTCAAATTACATCCCTAAAACAGAAGCCCGAGTTTCTCTATAGTTAACAGCAAGCTGCAGTTTCCTCCCACGTGTGACTCAGAACACCTAAACTGGGAGCCTACGCTTCTCCACATGGCTGTAGATGGTCTCTGAAGTTAGATGGTGTGAACACTCCACGAGATGCATGGCTTCTCTCTTCCTCCCCTAGGCAAAGTTAAGTGCCCTCTTCCGTGTGGCCCATCTAGCCAGAGGTTTTGATTAACCAGACTCTTCTCCTGCCATACTCGGAGTGCACAACTGGTGCAGAGTCTTGTGCACAAACTCTCGGGGCTAGACACGTGAAGAAGAGGAAGCAGCATCAGAAAGATAAACCACAAGATAAGGCCTGGAGGATATGAGATCTGCTGGTCTGCAGCTTCAGAGAACCCAAAAGAAGAAACTTGCATGCAAAACACAGTTTTCAAAAAATAAATATTGCAGGCTGACACCATGCTACAAAAACTAGCCAGCATCTCTTCCTCCAGAAGGTTCAGCTGGATAATTAGTCACTTGGAGGGTTAATTTAATGGAAAATTAGAAAAATCAGAAAAAAATTTAAAACCACATTATATTTTTGAAAAGGTAATCAAAACAGCGGAATAGCAGTCTATCAAAAATGGTTGTAAAATGTATGGGACATGAATGGGACATTCAGCCTCAGTATAAATCCCACAGCTTTGGTGGCCCACTCCGGGCAAGCTTGGCTTCTCAGAATTTAAGTCCAAGCATTTGAGAGACAGCACTGGTTTCAGAAAAGTTGCTATGGAGAGGTGCTGGTGCTCCAGAACAATCCCAAGGGTGGTGTGTTCCAGTCTGCCATTGGAGAAGGGCTGTGGGAAGCCTGCGCCAGGTCTGCAGCCGGCAGGAGAACCCCAGCCCTGTCACCTCTGGGTCAACACCGCTGTTCCTGCTCCAGCACAGACAGCACTTGTTGAAAACTAATTTCATTTCATTTCCTTACAACAAGTTGCCTTTAACTCACGCAAACTTTCCCCTACAGCATCTACCTTTTAAAAGTCTCTCCTGTTTCATATTCTCTTTTCTGTACTTTTTGCATCTGAGAAGAATACTAAAGTTAAAATTCACTGAGGGGAAAAAAGAGAAAAAACCAACCCTTGAAGCCAAATAACTTATGGCATGAGAGCTTTAGATTTTACTAGGCTTCCCAAGTTTCAGATGTCATAAACCATACAGGTGCAACCATCTCATTGCTCTGCACCCATATGAACCTCGTTATGTTAAAGCGAACACAAATCCAACGAATACTTCCAGGTTTATAATAAACCTTCATAAAGAAGCTGTCCATATTTTCCCCATATGCAGGCACAGCTGTGCAAAGGCACATCTGCTTGGGAAACTAACATGGATCTTTGAATTTATAGTTTAAGATCCTTAAGCTTGATGGCAAATAATGATAAAACTAGGAATACCAGTTCCTGTCTCCAACAGAAAATATAAATCCCTCTTTGATTGATATTGATTACAGGAAGGAAACAAAGCACTTCTATTTCCCCATGTCACAAGAAACTCCTTCACTGCAATAAACATCCGGTTGACAGGAATATCTCGGGAAGGCAAATGATACCACAGCTGTAAGCAAACGGAGAAAAGAGCAAGTGCTGATTGGCCACCTAGTTCATACATCCATGTAGCTTCAAACACACGACAGTGGGCTACGAGTTTGTCAAATTCATAAACGAAAATGATTGCACATATTAAGGTATGTCAAATGTGATTGCTATTTATTATTATCCTGCATCCTTTACTCTAATATCCAGTCCATACATGTAACTCCAGCTCAACCGAAGTAAACAAATTCATTGATTTAACAATTTATGGCTTGATTTTAAAAGGGGTTGAGCCTGCAGAGGAATACCTAACATATGTTCGAAGTTAAGCACAAGCCAACCCAGTGAACTTAGTGGTACTGATCGCATGCTTAAAATTAAGCATAAACTTCGACATTTTCCTGGCTCCTGCTTGCCATAGCAAGTCCCGAGTGTGACAGGAACATCTGCAGGATGCACCCCTGCTCTGCACAGTGAAAGCTGCAGCTGTGGCCCATCTGTGCAGCTGCCACACCACCTCACCAGCAATATCTCCCCGACACCTTGCAACCTCGACCAAAAGCCTGGCTTTCCTTCCTGAAGGGCTCTGGATGGAATGAGGAGGAAATGAGTGAGAAGACTGATGCGGCCCTGAATGGCTCCAGCGCAGCTACTCAGCCATTACTTTACATCACCCTTTGAACAGTGAAGGAAAAGCCCTTCACCCTCCACAGCACAATGAGGGTTCAGCTCATCCACCCCTCAGGTCAGCAAAGGGCCAAATTTTGTCACCTCCATCCCTGTCAGCTTGGATTTGGTTCGCCCGTTTCAACAGAGTGACTTCCCTTCTCACAAGCATAGCTAGGACCAGAATCGGACTCTTTAGGGCAACATAAATGATACCTCAAAAGAGACAGAAAATTTTGTTTCTATAATGACATTAGCCCAAATCATGAGGGAGATCCCGCCTAAACTCACTGACACTTTATAGCATTACAAAGCTGATAAACACGTCTATATTCACAGCTTTATAGAGGCCAAACTTTTTCTTGAAATCCTTCCCCCTACTATGTAATTATCTCGCCCTGCTGCCTCCTTATCACACAGCTACTACAGCTAGTACATGTTTCCCTGTGGTGCTGTGCATCCCGGACAAAAAGAAGGCAGCATTGCCAGAGATGACGAGCAGAACTGCATGCAAGGTGGGACACGATGTCAGTACGTTACATATAAACCAGGCATTAGGTTGAACTGGAGGTACCGAGTGCTTGAATTACACGCGGGTGAAATTCTCTGACCTAAATTTAAACGGGCTTAAATTTAGAAGCTCTACCACGTAACCAGATGATGACGGGGGGGGG